GTACCGACTCTGGTTAAGGCCGGTTTTGTGGCACTAGTAAAAAGTCGAGGACCTCCAAAAAAAAATAGCACCAAAACCGGATGGTTCAATGTCGATCAAAACCGGTCGGTTTCTGCTAACCGGTCCAGTTTACCAATATAATTCATAACGATAGCATATTAAATAATGGTCGTTATTTGACACAGAGGCCGTTATTTTAAACAGAACTTGTGATTCATGTTTTGCAACCTTTTTTATTCGATTTTTTGGCTTTTTTTGTTTTTTTTGGTGAATTATTGTACTTATGCACTTGAAATTTTCTATAAATAATTGTTTATTAAAATCGAAGAAGAACGATTTTTTGGTGGATTGAAATGGTGGATTTCTGAAACTATGAAATTTCCGCCATTATATCAATCTAAGCTTCAAATATGCATGGAAATGGAGGGCTTTGATTTATTACTGAAGCCTTAAACTTTCTTCTATTTCGATTTGTTGAAAAAGATGAATTTTGGAGGTTGATTTCTGCTGAAAATGCTGTTGCTCAAGAACTGTGTTCGATGAAAAAAAATTGATTTTTGATCGATGGATTTATCATTTTTTATTGAATTGATCAGTTAATTTTGATCATCAAGGCTTCATCATGTACGTTGATTTATCATTGAGTATATTTATTTATATGATTTTTTTTGCTGCGTTTTTGTTTTGAAAATTGCGTGAAGTGAAATATCCACCATTGTTTGAAGAACGATCTCAATAGTAAATGATCTTCATGATATTTGGGGCATTTTAATCATAATTGAAGTATCTATCATATCCCCATATCAATTTGTTTAAAAAATGAAAGATTTGAGGTTGATTTTGACTCTAAAGTTTTTGTGTTCATTGGCTCGATTTTAGGGTTCTAAAAAAAAAAATTTTGTTTCTTAATAAATTTACATTTTTTTTATAAAAATATGTTATTTGTGATGAATATGAGAAAAAAAATAGATTATTTATTTTTAATTTTATTTATTTTTGGTGAGCTTGTTGGTTTGTTTTTAATGTTATATTTTTTAAAAAAAATCTATATGTTTTTTTGTGATGAATATGAGAAAACATTTTCTTTCTTTTTAATGTTATATATTTTTGGTGAGCATGTTAGATTATTTTTAATGTTATATTTTTTTTTATAAAAAAATATGTTTTGTGATGAATATGAGAAAAAATTTCTTTCTTTTTAATGTTATATATTTTTGGTATGCTTGTTGGATTGTTTTTAATGTTATACAATTTTTTTTGACAAAAATATGTTTTTTTTTGTGATGAATATGAGAAAAAAACATTTCATTATTTTTAATGTTATATATTTTTGGTGAGCATGTTGGATTGTTTTTAATGTTATATATCTTTTTATAAAAATATGTTTTTTTGTGATGAATATGAGAAAAAAAAATTCTCTCTTTTTAATGTTCCATATTTTTGGTGAGCTTCTTGGATTGTTTTTAATCTAATATATTTTTTTTACAAAAATATGTTTTTTTGTGATGAATATGCGAAACAATGTATTTTTCTTTTTAATGTTATATATATATATATTTACGAGCTTGTTGGATTGCTTGTAATGCTATATATTTTTTTATTAAAGTATGTTTTTTTGTTCTACTTTCTTCTTCAATGTAGAAATGTGGAATGAGTTTGTGTTGACTGAATAGTTTTAAAACATTTATGTTTCTTGGTTAAGTTTCCTGTATAAAACAATAAATTCCTTGGGCTTTTGATAGGAAATCATAGCACGTGGTAAAGGTACTCCATTCTATGCTACATTTTTATCTTTCAAATCGTATCCTTTTGCAGGTTGGCCTGAGTATATTCATTACAAATTTCCAACCACATCTAATTTGGATTTTGGAACCGTTACGAACTTGTTATATAACATTTCATTAGGCTAGACTTTATACGTACCGATATATTTATTGCAACACTACTGACGGCTATTCAGTGAGAATAAATGGAATGATTGTAGAAGTCTTGTGAACTTGCAATTCTATTGCTCTATTGAAGCCATGAATGGTCTGCACCTTATTATGCAACTTAATCGAAATGACTATTATATGACCAGTCTAGAAGATGAAAAGAAAAAAGAAAAATGACTTATATATGACTTAATCTAAGTTTTTTTATTTTTTTATTTTTTTAAAATGTTTTGGGGGTTTTTGACCCATTTTTTTTTTAAAAAAAATCTACTTGACCGGTTAGTCCGGTTCCTGTTCGAACCGCTCCCAGCCTCATGACCGATTAACCGTTCCGGTTCGATTTTACTAACACTGCTCTCAAATAATTGGTGACTTTTTACTTGCCTTTTACCCATAGAAACACCCAAGAATAGCCATCACCTCAACCTTTTATTAAACACTTGTCAAAGCCAAAATCCGTTAGTGAAAATAGATGGTGCAAATGAAATCAAAACCCGAGATCAGAGAAGGGATGCTGATGGTCGCATAGTCCGGATTTTAAATCCCTTCACTTTAGAGAGGGAAAGAGGAGAACGGTACACCTTTTTCTTGCCGTGTCTTTATCTCTTTGGTTTCTTATTTTTATTATGAGAAGAAGGGCTAACGGTTATATTTCTCGAATGGGTCTTTGAGAAAAGGTGTTCCCTTATCTTAGGGATATTCATCCAATGCGTCCATATGAACGTAGGAGATAATTATGGATAATGAGATTCTTCAAAGCCCACAATTGTAGGCTAAATCACGTGACGCCTCATAGCCATGCATGCCAACATCTTCCACTTGGTTATGACAGTCGAACGTAATAATAAGTCACATGCATACTCACACTTTTGAGTATGACCTTTAAAAAAATATCTTGTTATGAGATTTTTTTCACGCTTTCAAAGATATTATCTCATAACAAATATTCATAAGGATTTTCACGCTAATGCAGATTTGACACTGCAAAATCTGCATCTGAATATCGTATAACTTCAAACTTATATGTTTGAAAACACAATTTTAGATACTTTGTTACCTTAATGTTCCTTAGAGTTCTTTTTACTGTTTTTCAATGAGCTATGTTTGCATTATTTTGATATCTATTAACAATTCCTATGACATAACTCAACTATGGTATTGTATACCTTACTGCATATACCAAGCTATCAATAGCTTGTGCATAGGGAACGGTAGACTAAAAAATCTGGAACTTGATTTTGACTGTGCAAAAAATCAAGAAAAAAGTCAAAGAAAAAAAGAAAGAACGTGAACAACACTGTAGAAGATGCATTGCAAGCCAAATACCATACTTAACAAAGAATGACTAAAAAAATTCACTTTCTTAAGAAGCATTAGATCAATATATATCAAAATTTGACTAAAATATATCAAATATCAACAATAAATGCAATTTCAGAAATACAATTATTAAAGAACACGTCGTAGCGATAACGCCTATTACCCCTTTCCAACTAATTGCTCAATTTCAACCTAGTTTTACTACTAGTCCCAATTTTACAGTACTTGAGCCAAAAAATGTCATGGAATCCATCAAATTATCTCAAACCGAAGAAAGGATTAAGCACTTGAGAGCTAAATCGAGGAGAAAGAACAAGCATATGAAAATTAAGCAAGAAAGCCATTGCATGCATAAATTAATCACAAGTACACAAATCCATTGTCTTAAACGCACAATGAGAATAAAAAAGAAAAAAAGAGAAAAAAAGAGAAAAAAGACAAAAAAAGGGATAAAAACCACTACATAGAAGGAAAAAAGCTTCAAACATATTCGCCTAAAAACATGACGAAAGAAACCCTTAAAAGAAAAGAAATAAAATAAATCGAGATCCCCTAAATTCACAAACATGCACACAAAGTTTTTCGATGGTAAACCCTAAACCAAGAACATGAAATTGTGTAAAGCATTATAGATTAAAAAAAGGAAGTACCCAAGAGATAAAACAAAAAAAAAGAGACTATTTTTAAGAGAGGATGAACGTGAAAAAGAAAGATACAATGTGCATTCACCAAAGTTTCTCCTCCTTTTCTTCTTCATTTCATTCTCTTCCCTTCCCCTCTTTTTCCCTCTCTCCCTCTCTCTCTCTCTAACTCTCTCTCTCAAACGGGCTGTTTCTCTCTCTTTCCTTGCAGCCCAACTTATATCTTTTAAGGGCTGGTTTGAAGGGTCACCTATTGGGCATGTAACCTCTATTTTGTGATGTTTTGAACGACGTGATCTTAACCGCTCATTTAAATTAGACAGGTGGAAAAGAGGAGAAATATATAAATTATGGAATAGTATCTAATGAGTTCATTTACTTTTGGTATAAGAGGGTCACAATTGTTTATAACTATTTGATGTGAAGTAAAATTTGATGGCTTGAGAGTGCCTCCTTGTTTAAAAAATTATTTTTAAATTTTAAACTTGGTCAATAGAATAAATGTTACCATTCCATTTCACATTCAATGGTCAAGATTAATTATGACCACGTCTACTAAAGATAAATTGTCATATTATATATTTTTTCATAAGTTATACGTTACAGGGGTAGTATAGAAAATTGCCCCAAGGCATAATATACCTACTTGTTTTGGGTGATTTAAACACATCCTATCCTAGGTTTAGAACTTTAGACAAATTTAAGCCATTTGACTCCATTGACTCAAGTAAAAATGCCCTAACCTTTCTTAGAAGCCCAAAACATGGGCAATTTAGATATTTTTAACAAAATTATTTGAAGGCTAAGTAAATGAAAAGATTTTTAAAGGTAACCAATGTTTGTATAATTGTTCATGTAGCTGATCCTTTGAAATGGTTTGCCAATTTTAATAATATTTTTCAAAAAAATAAATAAAATTGCCGCGTACTCCAAGGGCGCAAACAAATAGATTATTAACACAGAGAAATGGCGGGAGGGAGTTTTAAATCGTAGGATCTGATTGTCAGTTTTGAATAGACTCAGAAGTTCTCGGTCAATTTCCACTGCTCATTGCATTGCATGGGCCCGCTCTCATAAGTTTTTGCCCCATTCGGACAGCATTTTCTCTCTCTAACCCTACCCCCGTGACCCCTCTCTATACCTTTTCTCTCTCTAAAAATTTCACTCTCTTTCCTCCATTTTCCCTGGTTATACATTTTTTCTCTACTTTTTCGCCGCTGCTCTCTCTCTCTCTCATTCATATAACATTTTCTCTCTCTACATTCTTCCCCCCTCTCCCTTCCCTCTTCTGCGCGATCCATCTCCTACCTAATAAGCATCCATCTCACTTTCTCAGAATCTGCATGACTCAATTTTTTTAGGCAAACCATTATTTTCAAGGACCGAGCTCTGAATAATATGGGGGCAAGAAGTGCACTCACCTCCTCATTCCTTCCTCAAAGATCATTTGTTCCCCATACTTTCTCTTTCTCCTCTCTGTCTCCTCCCTTCTCGAAATTGGGGTTTTGTGGAAACCTGTGGAAGTGTCTGAGAATTCACAGTTTGGGGAGAGCTTCAAGCTCTGAGAATTCATGGAATTCATCCAAAACAGAAGATGGGCATCTGCTTCCTTCTCCTTCTTCTACCATTGATTTCCTCACATTGTGCCATCGCCTCAAGGTATGATCTATAAACGCGGAATATCGTCTTGTAATTGCTGTTATTTTTGTTTCCATAATCGTTTAATGCGTGATTGAGAGACGAAGAAAAGGAGCCGAGTTGATTAAAATGGTGGATACTTCGTTTGTTGACATGGATTTTGGAAATTCTAATGGAAAATGGAGATTTTGTGATTTTATTATGTATTATACAAATTGAGCTTGAAACTGATGAATTGAAAGGAAAATCTGGACTCCATCCTCAATCTTGGTGTTTATTTGTTTATTTATATTAGGATATTGTTCGTTCCAATGTGGGATTCTCGTTTGGCCTATTAGGCGTGCATATTTGTTAAGTTGGGCGTAGAATTTGTTTAAAAGAATTCCTATAGATAATAGGATAATTCAGCTATTCATTGAAATGAGTTTTGATTGCTTATTGATCAAGGGAGAAATCGTCAAAATACTTAGGCATTATTATTACATTAAACTTGCTGTGTAGATCACCTCATGTGCTTTTTATCATTTTAACATTGTTTTCTAAATCCTAGCCACTATTCTTACTGGACTTTCATCTTTCCTTATTGTAATTCTAGACCACCAAAAGAAAGGGATGGATCAACCAGGGTATAAAGGGTCCAGAATCTATTGCTGATCACATGTACCGAATGGCGTTAATGGCTCTAATTGCGAAGGATATGCCTGGTGTAAATAGGGAGAGGTTTGGTTAGAAATTTTCTCCTTCTACATAACTACTTCATATGCTCAGTTTGGCACTTTTTCTCTTCACTTGTTGATTGGAAACCTATATCCTTGCACTTTATGGTTGTACCATTGGTTCTTGTTCTTAGTGATGAAAATGTGAGAGACACTTAGCGTGATACTTATAGTGTCAAATACTTTTCTGTCAAATTCAAATCGTTGATCCTCAATGTGATTGCGCTTTTCTAAGAAACATACCTGTGCTCATCTTGGAATATTACTCTATAACTCAAGTTTGTTGCCTCATTCCATTTATCTAAGATCTATTTGTAAGAAATCTTATGTGGGGGTGGTGGCTCCCAGCAAAGAGGAAGGCATTTGAAGTGATATTGAAAAAATATTTTGTTTATTATATTTTTGGAGCGCTTGCTCTTGACATCTACGCTATACTGGGAAAAGGATATGTCACGTGACATTCATTAAAATTATTAGGAAAAGGATATGTCACATGACATTGATTAAAATTATTACAAGTATCTCTTTTCAGAATTGTCCAGATTTCGATATAACATGTGGAAAACTGCTATTCATTGACCTTCACTGGAGGGCAGGGTGATCTGAAGGAATGATGGTAGTGAGTTCACAAATTTTGCATATGGGTTTTACTAATTTTTGGGTTCAAACAATCATAGCCATTTCTAAGGCTTTGAAAGCTATATTTAGCATGATGATCACAGTTAATATCTATTTTTGATAGCAAGCCATGTAAATGTGATGATCTTATGATTTAAATAAGTTTCCCGAATTGTAAAAGCAGGCATGATTTGACTCGTATTTCCTGAAGAGGCTAACACAAGTTTTTAGGTAAAAGCTCCCACTGAGTGTTTTCTTGAACAAGGAGCTCTTCAAAATTGTTTTGTGGAATTTACATCTTAACTGTTGTATTGCTTGTTCTAAAAGCACTTATTTAGTGGCTTCATTCTATCAATAGATCATCTCATGACTAGAAAATTTGTTTCCAATAATAATAATAAAAAAAGCATACGTGAAATAAAAGTAGTGGGTATGATAGATATTTGAGCCATTGAATGTTAACTTTTACTCTTCATTTTTTCTTTTGATGCGTTTCTCCTTGTAGTCCTATGCAGAAAGTTATTTTTAGAGATGCCATATATGTGTGACCCGTGATGTAAGGGTCTATAATGATGGATTCTGGTTGAACAAAGCTAACACCACCCAATATATTTAATTTTTTATTGGTTCCCAATTATTTTTTATACTTAAACTGATGAGTAATCACACTAGTATCAAATCTCATCTTCCCTTTCCCTGGTCTCATACTTTCCTCAAAGAACCTTTAACTTATCATTTCTTGAATCCAAGTGTTACTTCTCAGTCACCTTGAGTAATGTGTCTTGCTCTGTCTTCATTCGTCTAAAAAATGACATGGAGACAAAAATGTGGAAATCCCCCTTGCATTCAAAGCCCTCAAGAACCACCCAACTATAGGAAAAGGAGAAGGGGAAAAAAAAAGAAAAAAAGAAAAAAAGAAAAAAAGAAAAAAAAGAAAAGAGACAAATAAACAAACAGGATATTTGAGAATGTGTTGAGAGCTGCCATTGTGCCACTCAATTGAAAAACCTAATTTTTCAAAATGAACCTCATCATAGGTCCTTAAGCTTATAATGCCTTCTTGTGAATTATCCTAAGAGGCCTTCTAAAGGAACAGTGATGTTTTGATATACAAGATTATTTACCAAGATAAAATTCTGATTCATCAACTCCTGGAATATCTTGTTGGATGTGTTCTTCTAGCAGCTAGTGTGATGGACATATCCTCCTAAAGATAATATCTTTTTTTTTACTGGTAAAAAGAATCAATATCAACACTAACTTTGCATTATTGTTTTGATTACATGAATATGTTTGCTACTGTCCTGTATAATCTCCAGAAACATTAGTGATCTACTTATTTCAGCATGGAAAAATGTTCTCCTGGTTTTGTATGCTTTGAAATTTTATTTCACGAAATATTACTTGCTTTTGTGTTTATGTAGGTGTATAAAGATAGCCATTGTACATGACATAGCAGAAGGTATTTTCCACGTGATAATTGTCCTCATGAATGTTAGTTTCTTTCTTTCTTGCTTTTTTTGTTAAGTATACCCAGTATATGTTTTCTAGTGCCCTTCCATATTTTTGTATGAATGGAGTTGCATGGCTTACTTGAATATGATGTCTTGTATTTTACTTATGGCACCAGATTATACGAATTTCATCTTGTGAGTAGAGCTCGTGGAGTCCAACTATTTTCATGTGCCTGCACTAGCATGCCAGATATTATGAAAGGGGTTTTGTTTATGTACCATAGACAATGGAATAGATATATAAAATAGTGTGAGATTGATTGATAAAGCTAAAGGTGCATTGAATTGGACAACTTATTACCCGAAGAACCTTGATTGGAGCATTTTTGTTAGCATTAAACATGCTTTAATATCATTTGTTAAAAAATCATGTAATTTTTTTTTGAGCAACTTGTGGTTTGGAACAAGTGTTATTAGCCTTGTCTCTCCTTATTGAAAGCGATCATGCTAGCGAATTTTCTCCATTCCTTTGTGTTACACCTGGGGATGATGTTCAACATAATTCAACATAAGAGAAATTTTCATGAGCATGTTTGAAATGAAAGATCCAAATAACCTCAATACTCTTCACCATTAAGTTGATTGATATTTGATAATTCAAGAGGTTGATTCAACACTTGATGTCCACTAGATAAAGCATATTGTCCTGTTGAATTTGGTGAAAATGTTCATACTAATGAGATTCATTCATGAGTTTTAATGAGATTCATTCATGATTTTTAAGCTTCAAAAAGATTCTTAGCTGTCTCGGATCATCATCAGCATTATTTGAGCCTTATCCCAACTATTTGGGGTCGGCTACACGAATCCTGCTCCGTCATTCCGCTTTATCAATGGTCATACCCCCAGTCTGACCATAGGTCACCATATCTTTTTTCACTACTTCTTTGCATATGTCCTTTGGGGCATTCCCCTTGCCTTTCTAGAGCCTTCCACTTGAACCAAATCACCCCTCTCAACTGGTGTTGTTCTAGGTCAACGTTGTACATTGCCAGGGCACCGAAATCTACTTTCCTTCATTTTATTGCCTATTGGAGCTACCCCTAGGTTCCTTCAAATGTATTCATTTGATATTTTGTCCTTTATTGTCTTGCCACCTATCTATCTCAAATCCTCATCTCACCTATAATCATTCTATAGACATGTTGTTTCTTGACTGCCCAACATTCTGTTTCATAAAGCATGGCTGATCTTAAAACCGTCCTATAGAACTTCCCCTTAAGTTTCATAATTTCATTGGTATGTTGTGATCACATAGGACTCTAGAAGCACATTTCCATGTCGTCCGCCCAGCTTTAATTTTAAGAGCAACTTCTTCCTCAATATCTCCTTTCTTATGGATTATCGACCCAATATATTGAAAATGATATCTTTTAAGTAATTCTTTTCCGTCAATCTTAAGTTCTTAACTAATTCCTTCTTTTTACTTCTATTATTATAAACTTGCATTCCATATATCCGTCTTAGTCTGGCTAATTTCAAAACCTTTGAATACTAAAAGCATCCCTCTAAAGTTCTAATTGTGTTTACGTCGTTTCTAATCTCATCTATTAAAACGATGTCATTTGCAAACGATATACACCACAAGACCTCATCTTGTAGATACCTACTTCACTTATCTATAACCAAATAAAAGAGATATGGTTTCAAAGTTGACCCTTGATATAGGCTTGCTGTCACTGAAACTCACTTGTCCCCACTTGTTGTTCTCCATATATCATCTTGAGATTCCTTTCTTTTCCAACACCCACCAAATTATTTCTCTAGGGACCCTGTTGTATGCTTTCTCTACATCAATAAAGACTATGTGGATATTTTGTATCTTCTCCCTACACTTCTCAATCAATTTTCTAAGTAGGAAAATAGCATCAATGATTGATTTCCCTAGCATAAATCTGAATTGAGTTTTTGATACACTGGTTTAATATTTTAGTCGTTGCTCAATTACTCTCTCCACAGTTTCATAGTGTGGCTCACAAGTTTGATCCTTCGATAGTTCGTACAACTATGTATGTCTCCTTTTTTCTTGTAAATAGGTACAACAATGCTTTTTCTTCATTCACCTAGCATTTTCTTTGTTGTCTCAGATAATATCGATAAAATAAAATCATGGGTAAGAACTATATTTTAGGACATTGTTCTTGAATTGGTTTTGAGTTATTACTTGGGAGGCAGTTCCTGACTTCCTGTCATCTTTCCTAGACTCTCTGTTCTCAATAGATGAGATTATTGCTATGTGGTATCTTTCTCAGGGAAGTGCCCATTACTCTTATATCCTAGAGAGAAGAATTCACCTAGATGGAGAAAATGGAGCACTTCAGTTGGGCGATGTTTGGTAAAGTTTTCACCTGTGGGGTTATGAAAAGCTTGGGTGGTTTAAGTTAACCCTCCCCTTGGAAACCAGTTGGATGTTATGACCTATTGTCATGGCATTGAGAGGATCACAAATTTCTTTTGTAGAAATCATTGTTTCCACCCAAAAAATCATATCATCGAAAAACTGTTTGTTATTGTTCAAAATATATTTGTCATCCCTAAACATTATTAAATATTTGGGGTCTTGCAGTATTCAAAAATAGCCAGCCATATTTGCAAGGATGGAGGCATGAATGAAAGATTTGATGCGTGCAAAGAGATGAACTTGTGATACCTTCACTGTGTCTGTGGACACATTATATTAAGAACGCATTTCTATGATCTTATACATTTCTATCATCTGTGGATTTTGAATTTTTTTTTGGTATTCAAGATACATGATTTCATTGATTTTTTTTGTTCTGTTACTCTTTACATTATGAGTGTTATCATGATGTTTACTAAAGTATAGTTTGTACTGTTGTACTATATTTGATTTTGAGATACTTAGACGATGATGGATAGACAGTTAGCATTCAGTGTAACTTGTATAAGTCTGGGCACTAGGTTGGGACTGATTTGTTAGTTGAAGTCTATTAATGAACAATTCTGGTAATGTCTAACATCTTACTGATTTCCTTTGTTCGTACACATATTAATAGGCAATATCATAAATTTTGTGATTGGACTGTGGTGGTCTTCTATGAATTTACAGCTATTGTTGGTGATATAACACCATCAGATGGTGTTCCAAAAAAAGAAAAGAGTAGGATGGAACAAGAAGCTCTGAATGAAATGTGTAAAGTCCTTGGTGGAGGATTAAGGGGTACTAATTTATATTTTCAAGTTTATCCTGTATTATTTCTTTAATGGAAGTAACTTTGATCGAAATTTTTTTGCATTATTATAACAGCTGAGGAGATAAAAGAGCTTTGGGAGGAATACGAAAACAATTCTTCTATTGAAGCTAATCTTGTAAAAGATTTTGACAAAGTATGTATATTCTTTGGAAAGCTCTTGATATATACATTTTTATTTGGAAGTTTTATCCTGCCTTAAAAGGCATGTTGATTTTAGTTATTGATGAAGCTGTGCTTGCTGGTGAATGGCTGCTGCATTGCTGCAAAAATATATATGGTGGAGAACTTGATTGTAACCACGTGTTGTCTGTTAGCTCTTCATTTTAACATATTTGTTTTTTATTTAGTTTTATGCTTTTATTTGTTCCTGAGTGATACATGGTGAGGTTAGTTTTTTACAACTGCACGGCATAGCTCATTGAACATGGTCCCATCTAAATCAAATGATAAGCTCCCTTTGGTAGCTACAAGATACATTTCACATCACAGTAATGGGAGAGAATCATGTTCTATTTCAATTTAATCAAAGAGCAGCCATAGCAGGATTAGTGGACGGTGCTGGTTCATAGGGGGCAAATGCAGTTCTTAAGGCATTTAATCATCAAGACGCCCTCCCGACGACAGCCATCAGCTCAATACCATTAAGAGTAAGATTCCCCAATCTTCTATTCTACAGACATTGATGGAGTATCATGTCTCGTATGCGCTGCAATTGTCTAGTACTTCAGCCTAAAAAGCCAATATGGCAAGATAAGTGCCTATGGTTATTTATTTTATAATAAAAAATAAATATTTAATAAAATAAATAAAATAATAGATGTTTAATGTGTATATAAGAAATGGTTCATATTTATTACTCTTTAATGTGGTTCGCACAGAGATAGCCCCCATGAACATGTCACAAGATGCCTTGCATTTAAACCCCACCCTTGTGCTCAATATAAATCTTTTAATGTTCCCCATGTCTGAAATTGCCGACAGTTCCAAGTGTTGACACATGTCGACACATGATGTGGCAGCAAAAAACAAGTTGTTTAGGTAACATAGCCGTTCTTCTATTTTACCTATGGAGTTCAGATCTTCTTGGATGCTTTGCCTCTGAGGATGGTGCAGCAAGGGTCACAAAAGAGCAGACTGTGCAAGAGAATGCATTGAAGCCAAGCCTAATTTGCAGCTGCTCCCTGAAATTTGGGTGAATACACTGGAAGGGGAAGGCTTGAATATGAAAAATTTACTCAGTTTGTCCTCATTTTATGTCTTGGTCATGCCACAAATTCATGTCGAACATTGATTCAAAAAGTGGTCCGCCTAGACGGGCTGGGGGGGCCTGGGTGCATCGCCCAGGCCTGGGCGAACCAACTAGGTTGGCTGTCCCGCCTAGTTGAACAATATCCATAGGGTGGGGTATTTTTGTTTTTGTTTGGATTATAGCAAGTGCATGAATATGAATTTTTTATACAAAATCTGGACATAAAACAGGATTACTGGACACCCTTTGCCCCTTTTTGAACCTAGAGCGCCCAGGTTCTTGGCGGCCGCCTAGGCGCTAGGCGGGCTAGGCGCCTAGACACCCCCTGACCGTCTAGCCACCGCCCGGCTTTTTTTGGAACGCTGATGTCGAGCGGCCAAAAAGCTTTAACCCAGAGATAAAGAAATACGGCACCGAAAGGAAAAGCCAACGAGAAAGGAACATAGCAAAGCAACACAACAATGGTTTGTTGTAGCTGGGAAAAACAGAGCTCCCACACACAGTTGACAGCAGAAGGTGAAGCTTTGGGTCCATCAAGCTCTACTCCTGGCTTGCAATTTGAATTGCTCATTGCAGATTCAAGTTAAGATTTGGATTTGGCAGAGCTTTCTAGAGAGAGAAACAACAGAAAAACAGGTGGAAATTGAAGGTCGTAGTTGTATTCAGAAACTTGATTTCGACAAATAACTGTCTGCTACTTGTAGGAACAAAAATGACAAGTCCCAAACTTGCTGTGGAAAGCAATGACGAGATTTTTGAACTGCCGAGAAACGATAGCTTGAGAGCAAACATTTTCGTTTGAAATAGCAGGTTTGCCTGAAAAAATGAGAGCAAAGACAATCTTTGCTAAAAAACTAAGAGGAAATGCTATTCCAGGAGCCTGCTGAGAAATTTCTGGTGAAGGAACCACCAAGATATCAGTTCCAAACCCAAGGTTTCATTGGCCAATATGATCTTGGATCTAGATCTATGCTAACCTTTGGACAGTCCAAATTTATGATGAATGTCAAACCGAAATCAAACTTTTGCGACTTCCCCTAGGGGTCAATCTTTCCTTTCATATCCCAAAACACTCTAGATGGATCCGCCGAAGCACTTTGTCAATACATCAATTAGTGCTTAAAAAATTGGACCGGTGGGTCGAATCGGTCACCCAACTGTTTCAAGTCAATTGGCTGAATCAGCGAGTCAGCTTGGCTGACTCGGCCAATTTAAGGATTTTGGGGGGGTTGGGGGGGGGGGGACAGAACATAAAATGTAAACAAAGAAGGAGCCATTTTTCTTAGAAAATGGGGAACCAAACAAAATAAATTGTAATAAATAAAAATATTATTTGAAAAAATAACTATTATGGATTGGACCTTCTTCTAGAAACTATTCCCAAAGAAATTGTGGCTAAAAACTCCAAAATTTGTTAAATCTAAGATTCAAGGACCATGAAATTGGGATTACTATTACTGATGCTAGATCTCTCCAAGGTTTTAATTTGATCCAACAAATTACTATGGGAGTCTGTTAGAGGGCTCCAAAACAAACAATTTTAAACAAATTTCAAATGATTTGGTTGAGAATCGAGAGAGAAATTGCAAAAGAGACTGATTGGGTTTTGAAGCTCTAAAATTGACGAGATTTTAATAAAAAATTTACCTAAAGCAAGTTTTGATTAAAAAAAAAAGAGGATCTCAAAGGGGGCTAAGAGAGATTGATTTATGTTAAATCCGATCGAAATGGGGACTTAGATTGGTGGAGATGCATAATTTGAGAAAAAAAAAGACAAAGGAAAAGGTTATAAAGTCTTTTTTTACCTGAAATGGGGTGTGCAAGGCGACTCACTCAACTATCAAGGAGAACATGCTTGGTACCCTACTGGTTCTAAGCTGACTCAAGTGGTTCCGAGTCGGCTTGGTGACTTATGAAACCCTGGCATTAATAGTACAAGATAATATATGTAGTGCCATTGATGAAGGTGAACACTGCACTGTATAGAGTATGGCAAAAGAACAATATGCTAAGCAAAAACAGCAAACTCAATCAATACAAGATGCTACATGCGGCACCATTGAGGACGGGACGGCATTGTGACAATGTCTTAAAAATTGCTGAGCCAGCTTGGAATCTGCCGAGATGGCTCGAGAGTAGCAAGGTACAGTGCTGTTTCTCCCCAGAATTGGGTGAGTTGCCTATACACCGCTTTTAGGTTAAAAAAAAAGGCTTTTACTGCTTCTTTTTGTCTTTTTTGCTCCAATAATTCATCTCTGCCTATTTGAACCTGCACTTTGATCGAATTTTACAGAAACCACTCTCTCTTAGCTCTCTAAGATGCAAAAATAATATTTTTGGATCAAAACTTGGGGGAGATTTTTCCTCGATCTCACCATTTTTTGAGCTTCAAAACTTGATCTTCCTTTTTTGCAAATTCTGTCTCAATTCTCAACCATTTGAGATTTGTTTCGAGTTGTTCATCTTGGAGCCTTTCAACTGACCCCTACTGTAACTTGTTGGATCAAATCAAAACTTTGAAGGAAGCGTAGATCTAACGAGCTTCAGAGTTTCTAGCCGCAATTTCTTTGGGGATGTGTCTCTAGGAAAGGTTAGGGGCAATCTACAATAGGTAATTCATTTTCTCAGATAATATTTTTATACACTTCCATTCATTTTTCTTGGTTCTCAATTTTTTTTAAAAATGTCTTAATTCTTTGTTTACCTTTTTTTTATAAGAAAAATTTGGTAATCAGCTGAGCATATTCACCTATTTAGCCAGTTCGACTCAAAACTGGTGGATGACTAGTTCGACCCACTGGTTCGATTTTTAAACATTGGAGGACAAAGAATATTTTGTTACCCAAATGTAGCAAGTGAAAAATATGCTATGCAATCAGTAAAAACTCAGTCCATATGCTGCTAAAGTGCACAAAGTGATGCATGTAGCACAACTGATGACATCGCAAGTAGTAGTAGTGCAAAACCATGCTACTATGAGGCTTTACAGAAAAACAATGCTCAGCAAACAGTAGCAACCCGGGTGTAGCAAATGAAGAATACCTAGGGACACAAGACAACTCTCTCTAAGGTACTTAGCAAAATAACCTTGTAACTTGGGGAGAAGGGGTGCCTCCTCAAAAAGGGGTTCGCAATGGCAAGGCCCAGGTGACTTTACCAAAAACTTAGGTCTCCGCAGATTTGTAAGACCATGTACAAGGTTGATGCCTCCCCAATGCCAGAAGGTCAGGGAAGTTGGTGATTGATGATGGGGGAGCCGGCAACCGAAACCCCGGTTAATGGCTACCATAACTATAATGGTCTTAAGTTAGTGAAATTCCTTGTCCTGTAAGTTTCCACCAGAATACCTACTCAGCATGCTGCCAAAGCAAAAGGACACAAAGAAAGAAAAAGACAAGAAGAGAGGGATATGATATTCTTGATGATATTATGGTAGAGTTGGATGTGAAGAAAGCTCATGAAAGTCGAATATAAATGAATTGTAAATCAGCAGCATATTATAGAGTCTCTTAGAGTCTCTTAATTTAGTGTATAAAGTTTGGCATAATGAAATTCTCTCTTATACTCATACTCACAACTGGACTACAAACCATATGGTGTATAGTGTTGGCCTGTTGGGCCTAATGCACATATTCTTTGAGATTAATACAATGAGTAGGGTTTTGTACAAGCCCTTGCTCTCTCAGCGAGGAAAAAGACATTGCCATCAGTGTATTAGATGTTGTTGAATGAGGAAAGGGGTTTAGAAAGGAAGTGCAAGAGGCAAGTTGAGGAAGGTACCTTAAAAACTGGCGAGTTGAATTTAACTTCTGAACATATCCATAACTCCTGAACATACCCATAATAAAGTTAGTAACATAAGATAATTTGTTTTTTTTTTTCTAGATGAAAGTATTATTTATTTTGTAAATGAAATATTGAATCATGAAAAACTGTATTTTGATCAATAAAGAGTTGTGAAGAACGTATGAACGATAAATTTGAAGATTGATACTCTGTTATACACAATATACTGCTGGAATGTCTTTTGAGTTTTCTATGGATAAAAACTCCGTTATCTATGGATCAAAACTCCATTATCTCTCAGAAAATATTAGGAAACATAGTCAAATTTCTTTACAGAATTGATGAGAGTAACCTGATAATTTGAATTTTCTCAGCTAGAAATTTACATGGTTTAAGTACCATCATCATCATCATCATTATCTGAACCTATCCCAACTATTGATGAATTTAAGTATAGGTCTTTTGAATATTTTACTTGATCTAATGCTAGGTTTGGGGGTTGAATATGGTGATTTTGAATTTGGGAAATAAGTAGGCTGCGAAGGCAAACCAAAGAAAAAAGTAGGAGTCTCAGATGTCTATGGTGATGTGACACCGGGTCTTAAGGTCAAACAGGCACCTCATTGGTTCAGTGAGACAACAGAAAGGTGCAAGGCATTAGGTGACTTATGTAGATTGTGTAGATTTATGAACTTCAGAAAACTTTTGATGATGTACCTTATCCATGTTTTTCTATTATGACTCTTAAAATCAGTTTGTGATTATCTTATTTTTATTTATTCTGCTTCAACTTGCCTTACCAACAGTTGATTTATTGACGGGGACAATTTTTTTTTTGCAGTTTCCTATTACATTAATTAACATGCAGTGCCAAATCTGATACTATTTCTATGGAAATCTTTAATTTTCTCGTCTTTTATCCAGGTGGAAATGATTCTGCAAGCTTTGGAGTATGAAGCAGGTATTGTGTGTGATTTCCAAATATGGTATTTCTTTCTTTGGAGGTGTGCTTCTGTGGGGTATTTCTTTGCAATTTGATTTCAGTGGATATTTTCCTTTTCCAAGCTTTTTGGTCTCTTGGGGAAACAAAAATAAGCAAAGATGGCTGTCCTTCAAAGAGGATACTATCTCCCATTTACTTCAAACTTTAAAGACCAAATTTTCTATGGACGTAACTGCCGATTTATGCAGCACTGATGGACCCCCCAAGGGCCATCCATTTGTTGGACAGTGACTCCCATTCAAACTACGGCTAGCATTGTCTATCTGTTGGTGACAAGATCTATAGTATTAGGAGCTCAAAATCTAGTTAACAACTTCAAAAAAGAAAAAAAAGAGAGCACAAAATCATTTTTTTGGGGAATTGATCACGAGGTGAATCAGGAGTTGTTTGCAAAATTTCGAGTCCTATAAATCCTCCAAACATGTTTTTTGGTCCATCAATGCTGTCGAAGCCCAATCCATAGTAGTTGTGAGCTTCCAGTTACATTTTAGATTATTATTTTTTTCGAAAATTTGCTAGAAATATTGTAAATGAGGAGAAGAATCTTGGTATATTGATTAAACTATCCTTTTCTTTATTGAAAAAAAAATTGGAAACATTTTCTCACTTTGGTGTCCCTATATAACCTTTAAAGAATTTCTGGAGGATTACATGATGCCAACTGGACAAAAAGAGGAAATTATTTAAAGAATAAAAGCCTAAGGAAAGTCTTATCTTCCAGTTCAACAATTTGTTTCCTCCTCTCCAATCTCCAGCTAGTTGCATGTTAGTCTGGTTTTTCAGTTCAACCAACGCGGTTTTGACTAGCTCTGGTGTTTTTAACTGAACCTTCCTATTCGGTCTTTGAAAAACTGACCCATTCTTAGCAAGCGTACATGTTTTGGTTGACTCATATACAATTTTCTTGGTTTTGGGATTTTATGACTTATTCTTCTGCCATTAAAATTTTGAAGCAGAACATGGGAAGGTCTTGGATGAATTCTTCATGTCTACAGAAGGTAACAAAGTTATGTCTTGAGGGTTGGGAGTGTAACAAGCACTAAAATGGTACACAGTTTAGGCATCCGCTGGTCATTTTGATAAATGATGATCCAGATCAATTGTAGAATGGATGCTGGAAGCCTTGGCTATGTATGATGTAATTTCCAATGCTTGTTAGAATTTCTTATTCATTGAAAAGGACGCTTGTTGTCTTTGTTGTGTTTAGGGAAATTCCAAACTGAAGTTGGCAAGGCTTGGGCCGCTGAGGTTACTGCTAGGAGAAAGAAAATACTTGGAGACAGGCTTATGTGAATGTCCAATTGTAAGGAGCCATTCATCCTCACTTCTCAGAATCTGTGATCTTGAAGATTTTATCTCTCTCTCTCTC